GGCCCTTCGACGGCAGGCCCGAAAGAGCCGCGGCCTCTGGTGGCGGCCGGGCCGGCCGGGGCCGCACTCACCGCTGCAGCACCAGGACGACGGGGAGCCGTTGGGGAACTTGGCGGAGTCCGGGGCGATGCAGACGCTGGCGCTGAGGTGCGGACACTCCATGGCCACGAGAAGGGCGGCAGTGCGGACCACGGCTGTGGGGTCGGACAGACTCTAGCGGCTCCGTCTGGGGTCGCTCCTCGCCGGGCGCTCGGCGGACGGCGGCGGCGTCCCGAGCCCTTGCGTCAAAGAAAGCGAGGGCTTCCGGACGCCGTGTTTTCTCGCCCGCCGCCTCCCGGCGCCCCGCTCCGCAGAACGTGAAATTCCGGGCTCCGGGTTCTGCCGCCGCCTTTGGGCTGCAGGCTTCCGCCTTCCCAGGCTGGCCCCGCCCCCGGCGCGCTGGCCCCGCCCGGCGCGCTGGCCCCGCCCCCGGCGCCCCGCCGGTGGGGGCCGGGGGCACCGGCTGTTGGCCTAGCGCCCAGCAGCGCTCGGAAGTGACTTTCCCACCTCCGTCGCCTCTGGCTGCCGCGGCTCCCCTTTACGCCGAGAGGGGTGGGTGCCCCGTCCGGCGGAGGGGGGGGAAGGAGGAGGCGGTCCGATCCGCTGCGATTTCGCGCGGTGAAACCAGCGCGGAGGTTTCACTGTGCGTGGCTTGGGTGGTAGACGATCTGACTACGTCGCCAAGTGCAGAGCTGGAAGGGCAGGAAGAAGCCAGCTGGAGCGGTGTGGCGCCTGCCCAGGCACCTGACTTAGAGACCTCGGTGCTGCAGGTGCGGCCGGGCGACTTTCGGGTGCTCAGCACGTGGCCTTGGCCCGCGAGGGCACCCGCTCCCCTGGGCTCGAACCCTGTCCCTGTGACTCACTTGTGCTCCGCCCCGAGCGCATCATTGGGCTTTTCCAGGAACTAAGTGAAATGAACAACCTGGTTTGCTGAGTCGAGGTCCCCTTTCCCAGGTGATAAAAGGGGGCAGGGGCCTAACCGTGTTGGCCCCCACCGTTGTGTCCCTGCTGGGTACTTTGTTGTCTGTACTTCATTTAAGCCTCGCAACACCCTATGCCGCTGCTAACTGTCCCCCCTTTTACGGCCGGGAAACCAAGCCAGTGATTCGCTAATCCGTGCTGGGAACGGATCGGGCTCCTGATCTCTGCTCAGAAGTCGGTGGGGACCGGTCCCGTCCAAGGGCTGCTCCAGTCCGTTGCACCTGAGTGAGCCTGCGACCGCCCTGGGACAGTCCTGGGGGACGTCGGGGGCTCTTACACATCCTCTCTCAAAATTGGGGCTCCTAGAAAAACCCAAGAAGGAACCTCAGGATCAGAGGGCCAGCAAGGGGACGACGGGGAAGGCGGGGAGAGACCGATGTGGCAAACCTATGGGCAGGGTTAGGAGGAAGCAAGGTCAGGAAATGATTAACCAGGGCGGGTAGTGTTTAGAGCAGGGCAGCTCCCTGCAGTGAGGTCCTGGGTGTTGTCCGTTGGGTCGCTTCTCACCCTCCCTGCCCCCACCCTGCAGTCCTTTGCCTCACAGTGGCCACCCACCCGGGGTAGCTCTCCAAGCCTTTCCCACACGGTGTTCCGGATTCCTTAGTTAAATCTCTGTTGCTATCCCAGTTGTTCTTGGCTGCTCTTACTGAAAGCCTCAGACCTATCGAGGTGGCAAGCAGCTGTGGGAGGCCAGGCAAGCCTGCCTTTGAATCTGAGCTGTCCCCTGCACAGTGGAGTCTGCACAGAGCCTTTCTCTTCACCTGTAAAACTGCAAAAAGAGTATCTAGAAAGGAAGATGTAAGAACTCAGGAGAATTGCCACCAGGTACAGTGGCACGTCCCAGATAAGCATAATTTTTGCTTACATAACAACAGGTAAAAGTTGCCTCCCTGGGAAGAAGGGTAGAGATAACAGCTGTCCCCTCTTCAGCCAACCTATTTATCTGTAAGGCTTGGCTCAACCAACCTGCTTACCCCTCGATACCTACGCCCTGCTTAATATCTGCAGCCCCTTATTAGGCAGGAGGTGCTCTGATTCAGGCAGTCTTTCATACAGGCATGTAATGTTACTTTTTCCCCCCTATAGAAACTGTTTCCTAATCCCCTAAACCTCAGTTGAAACATTCCTTCCTCCTAGAGGCCTTTCCTGATCCTGCTCCAACCCAGGTTACCTCCCAGAGTGGGATGCCCTCCACTGACCCCACTCTGCCTTTGTAAGTCACTCTCCGTGCATGTAATTATTTGTTTAAAGTCTGTCTTCCCCTCGGAGGTCCCTAAGGGTAGCAAACAAGTCTGTCTGGTTTCCTGCTTTCTTTCAAACATAATGTGCCAAGCATGGAGGGTGTCCCATCCATAACTTTGCCAAGGATGAGTGACGGGTTAGCAATGTCTAGGAAGACAAGGGTTTAGGAATGGCCCAGGAGATGCCATATACTTACCCCCTCCAAGATCTCTACATTTCCTTTGAGTTCTGAGTTTATTTTTTAAAAGGAAGAGGATTGTGAAGGTGCCTTGTAAGGTGTAAGGTGTGAGACAGGGTCTTACTATGTAGCCCTGGCTGGCCTCAAACATGTGGCGATCCTCCTGCCTCAGCCTCTGGGATTATAGGCATGCCACCACACTTGGCTTAATTTTTTAAAATAAATGCCTTCTCTCCTGAGCCAGAATAAAGACCCCTTTGGAGCAGGAGTTCTAATTTAGTCCTCTCAGATTGCCACAGTGCCCAGGAGGATAACCTGTATCAGGCAGCCTAAAAAAGTTGAACCAAATCAGAGCCCTAGGGCTTTTGCTAGAGAACCTTAGAACAGCAAACTTTCCTGTCTTTGAAAGTTTTCATTGCAAAAGAAATTTCCTTTTAAGAAAAAAATGAGTGAAATGTATCCGAAGAGGGCAGTCCACAGGACACAGTGGGAAATCTGCCCTCTCAGTCCCTCGCCTTTGCAGCTGTGTTGAATACAGCGCTCACTGTTCCGTGCTTGGCCAGCGTTCCTGGCGGTGAGGCACGGCGGCCTGGAGCCCCGCTCGCCTGCTCGGCGCCCCGCCCCGCCCGGGGGTTTTCCGCCGGCCTGGAAGTCCTGGGGCCTGGGAATCCACGGCGCAGCCTGCCTGAGGCCCGGCCTATTCTCACAGCGCCCTTTTCTCGTGGGAGACACACACACACTTTCAAAACTGCTATGCAGTTTCTCCTCTAAGGAATGTAAGTACACATGGGGTGATAGGACGTGGGGAAAGAAAGAAGATCCGATCCTGGTCTGAAAACATAGTGAGGTCGCAGCAGCCTTCCTCAAACCTTGACACAAGAATTGGGGCAGAACCCATGGTCCCCAAGCCTGGAGCATCAGGCCCATCAGGCCCTGCAGGACAGCAGCTGGGACTCTTCCCGCTCAGGTAAGGTGCATTACAAGCGCCCGCAGAGTTGGTTTAATTATTTACAGTAGGGATTTTGCTAGGAGCAAAGCCTGCTTAGAAAACCTAGGTCAGAGTCTTCGAAGTATCCAGAAGTGTTGGGTGCTCAGGGACTCTTCCGTGGCAGGGCTGCACTTCCTGCAGCACTTATCTGATTTTCCCTTGCTTGTTTGCTTGCTTATCTATTCTCCATCTCCTCCAAGGTAAGAGACCTTGCCAGTCCTGTTAGGTGTTTCATTTCCAGTTCCTGGAATACAGGTAGGAGGCAGGCGCTTGGTAGCCATTTGTGGAATGACTAAATAAAATAAGGGTAGTGAGTGGGGTGTAGCTCCTTGGCACGCACCCACGCACGATGCACAGAGGAGGGGAGCTTGAGCTCCAGCAGCCAGCACCTCTATTTCCCACTCAGGAACACCACTCTCTCCACTGCCTGCCAATGAACCTCCATCTCCTACCACCACCCTGCTCAAAATCCCTGCCTGGCTCCCACCTCCAGTAGGATCAAATCCCATACTCACTGTGGTCCGCGCCACCAGTCCCCTCTCTCCCTTTAGCTTTTTAAAAACACTCTTCCAGCTGTACCTAAAATAGTTGCCTCATTGCACCAAAGGGCTGCTCCTCATCCTTCTCCGTCCTGCCCACCTTGCCCCGCCCGTTCTGTTCCACAGCTCTTCTCACCACCCCAGTAAACTTGAAATCTGCCCCCACCCGCTGCCCCATCCCTGCCGCTTGTTGCACGGTGCTGTTATTTTCTATTCCCATTTCAGTCTGCCTTGGAAGCCAAGTATTTTTATTTTTCAGCTGTGGATGTTCAGTACCAAATTAGCAATTTGATACTGAAACTGATCAAATTTGTTGATTGTTGTTGGAAGTGACCCTACGGGGAGAGATTTTACCAACAGTTATGTGTAATGATGCCCTAGATATTCAGAGAAAGGACCTTAACTATTCAAGACAAAAGTTACCTTTACTGGGTCCCAACTTGGTACCTGATACCACGTGGTTTTCACTTCTTCTTGGGGAGGCAGATATTACTACTTTATTTTACCAATAAGAGAATGAAAGCTTAAAGACAGTTAAATAATTGCACAAATCTTCACAATTAGTAACTGTTCTTTTATTCAAAAAGCCAGCTTCACTCCTCCCCCACGTGGTCATCTGAACGATTTTTAGTATTTTATGGGAACGCCCTAACGCTGCTGGCTCTTGGTAACCCCAGGACACCAAAGAGCCTTCTGCGTAGAGAATCATTTATGCTCACTGCCGCTGCCTTAATCATGTCACCAAAATCTTAATTTGAGTTGCTTTCACTTCCCCCTTTGTCACTGCAGACTCCTTTTGTGAAGGAGATGAGGTTTGCCCGTTTAAAGCCCCACTTTGTAGATAAAGTACCATCAGATTAAGCAAAACAGAGGGGTTCTAACGCCTAACCACCTTCCCACAGTGAAGAGACACTGGTTCTCTCTCTGCAGTCTTTTCATTTGTAAAATCAGGGGCTTAGCCAGGAGTGGTCCCTTCCAGAGTGAGCACCCTGCCACCTGTGACAGCCCAGCCACCTACCAACGCTGGCGGAGGAAAGCCCATCCTTGTGTGGTGTAGCAAAAGTCACCAGCTGCTCGTCTAGATCTATCCTCCTTTCCTCATGAGTTCACAAACAGAAATTTCTCAGTTTCTCTGTGGCTGTTTTTGGTCTGTGGAGACTGAGCAGAAATCACAAGGATCAGCCTTGGTTGGCACTGTATATAGCTGCCCATGCCAAAAACACTTTAGTGGCCAGTTTGGTTTAATAAGACACAGAGGAAAGGCAATAATCACATCAAGTGAAGCTCAGAAGGAGATGTAGGTCTTCTAAGGGTCCCTCGTTTCCCTCCAAGCTGTGCTTCATGTGTGCCTTCTTCCACCTTCACTCCTTCCTTCAGCACATCTGTCTGTACTCCTGTACACACCAAGCATGGAAGAGACACAGACTTAGCGCTCGGCACTACACAGAGCCCTGCTCTGCTGCCATCCTTTGCCACTATCAAGACAGAGAGCATGGTGACATTACTCACATCCCCGCTGTTAACCACCTGACTGGGCAGCCAAGCCCCTGAGTTTCAAGCGCTATCTAAACTAGAAGCTTGAAGCCTTTAGGTTGTGAAAATGACATCCATGTAAATGGTCTGGCTTAGTGTATGGCAGATACTAGACCAGTGTAGGCGAACCTTCTAGAGCTTCCAATAACACAGCCCACAAAGGCATGAGTACCATGCATTTGCCACCTCTGGACTAGCCCCTCAGTAAATGTCTCCTTCCATGAGACCTTGCCAGTGGGGGTGACCGTTGATGAAAGAATTGATTCTAGTATCTCTGGGTAGACGGTCAAGAGTGTTGTCTTTTGAAGGGGATCTGGGCCAGGTCAGTCATTCAGCACCAACCTTTGTGATATAAAACTGAGCAGCCACGTGATCTTATCTGCAAGGGGAGGGGGGAAGGGTCAAGACAAAGCAGCCAGCAAACGGGCAGTTGCAACACAGAGCGTTAAGTGCTAGGAGCGGAAGTACAGGATATCCCTTAGCCATAAGCAAAAGACAGCTAACCCAAGCAGGTGGGTGGGAACAGGGCAAGTAACAGGGAAGGCTTTCTGGAGGAAGTGGCCGATGACCTGGGACTTGGGTACGGTGTGTGAAGTCGGGGTGAGGAAAGGGACAGCAGGTCCCTCGCAGAGGGAATAGTCTTCTCAAGTGCTCAGAGGCTCAGAGGAGATCTGAGTGTGTCTGGCTGGAGTCTCGTGCAAGGGAGTGGCAGGCTGAGATTAGCAGTGAGGGTCGACAGCAGAGCTGCCAACACACACGAGGCTGGGTCTTGGGGACTCTGACATCTTACAAGGTTGCCTGGTGCCACAGGGACCAGTGGGCAAACATACAGGAAGAAGAGAGGAACTAACAATTATTAAACATCTACAGGATGTTCAGCAGCATTGGCCACCTGGTGTTTTGTTTTTATTTCGGGGGGTGGTTTTTTGCTTTTTGTTTTCTCCTCCCGTGAACCAGGGCCCTGTGCGTGCTAGGCAAGCGCTCCACCACTGAGCTGACACCCGCAAGTCATCTGGGAAATGCAAATGAAAGCCACAGTGTAGACCTTGCTGTACACAAAAGGCAGGAGTGAAGTGTAGCACACACGCACATATGCACACGCATTCCTCCTTTGACTGGGTCCCCAGAGTATACCCAAGGAGTTCACAACTCACAGAGAGCAAGGAGCTCAGACACATGAAGACTTTCAATGGGGGAAAAGAATCCTAGGCTTCGAGAACCCCCAGGTTGGCTTCCCCCTCTTCTTTCCTAAACCTAATCTGACTTGACAATTCAGCTGACCAGAAAATGAATTTCTTAAACATCTAGAACATAGATTTTCACAGGCCCACATCTTTTGGTAAGCTGCCTGATGCTCAGGAAAAGCAGCAGCGGGGACTGCTGTGTGACCTCAGGCCAGCAGCCTGCCCTCTCCGGACCTCTTCTCTATGAGGTGGGAGGAACAACATCTGCTTCTTGATTTGTTTCCTTTACCCAAGTGCTTAGTATTTAGGGGAAAACAATAGGGTTCTGAGTGCTGATCGCATCCTATGATCAGAACCACCCATGACATATGCAAGTGTATAATCACACTAAAGGTTATATTTTATAAGTTAAGTCATTCAAGAAGCTCTGCCATGGCTGACCTGGTTAGAACTACTTTCTGGCAGCAGCAGTAGAAAATAAAAAGTGTTAACATTATATCCCATCCAAAAAAAGATGGGAATGTGAGGGAAGGAACTTAGAACCCTGGGGCCCTTTTGTCCCCTCTAGAGCAGGTGGCATTTTCAAGATGGAGACCAAGAGCAAGTACTCAGGAACAATGACGCTTCCGAGGGCCCTTTTGGCAGGGCCGCTCGGCACAGAGGCCAGGTGTGCCCACACAAGTGATGTCTGCATCCAGCATCCCCTGGTGCCGGCTCCTGCCACCACCACGCTCCTCACTTGCCAGAGTTCCTGCGTGGCCATGCTGGAGAGGAGGATTTTGTAAATGTACCTTGTCTGGCCTTTTCCCGCATGCAGAATGTACAAGCCGGTTCTCCTGGGCATGGGGCTGCCTGCAGGAGTAAAGCTCAACACGCAGCAGACAGTCGTGCGGGTCCCCCTATAAATAACCTCCAGGTCTCCAGGGAGCCCTCCGAAGACAACAGGAGTAGAGAGGCAGACGCACACGCGTGAGCCACTCGGGATTATATTACCCTGGTAAAGAAAGTCAGATTCTTGGTGTACGGCTTGCCCAAAAGCTGGCCCTGGAAAGTTACAACAAGAAACCAAGCAACTGCTGGCTCTGCGGCGGGGGAAGGGAGGGGAAGGGGAGTACCTCTGTGCTGTGCACACTTGGATTCCCCTGAAGTTCGGCACCATTAGTTATCAAAGAAGTACAGTAGTGGTAAAAAAACAAAAGGCCTAAAGTGATCCCCACGCCCAGGGAAATGTACGCTGCCAAGAGAGGGAGAGAGCAGGTCTTGACAGATAAACCCACTTTTTTTATCTCGCAGATCATCCTGCTGCTTCCTAGCTGTGTGTCCTAAAGTAAATTATCTCCCTCCTCTGAGCCTCTGTCTCCCTAAATGGGGCCGTAAACCTGTCAATCACAGACAGCCAGGACCCGGCCTGCACCAGGGATCAGGCAGAGCCTGCCATCTCCAGTTCTACTGGCAGAAGATCAAGCAGGATTTTGATAGAGCGGCCTAGATCTGACGTCAGCCTGAGGAGCAGGCTGGCCACGCACACAAGCTCCTGGCCCCTGGAAGCTTTTTCAGGGGTCCACTCTCGCCCTGTAGAGCGTAATTCCTTTCCGACCTTTAATAAATGTAAAACCTGTCACCTTTTGCACATTTCTTGACTAATTCTTTGTTCAGGACAACAGGAACCAGAGGCGCTCTGTGGAAGGCATCCACAGTCCCCCCTCCCCCGAGTCCCTGCAACAGAACCACAGTGAGGATAAAGATCATCCCTCGTGCTGTGACGACACAGGCTGCTCCGACTCAGTGTGTTGTCGAGACATACTCTACAAGGAGATACATCTCTTCTCATCTTCTCTTCAACATTTTACATATGAGGAAACTGAGTCTCACCCAGATAAGGAAATGCCTAGCACCTGTCTCCCAAGCCCAGGGCTTTCCACCTCCGCTGTGCTGAGTTCTGTAGGATGCAGGGCCTCTAAAAATATCAACAGGGTGGAGGAGACTTGGGGTAGGATCATTTTCTGCACACTCTTCCAGGAGGTCCTAAGGTGAGTCCCCCCTCTGCTTTTGTCACTGATTCTGCAGTGATCCACAGCAGATCTAGCTAGTTAGGACATCCTGATGTTGGCATGTCTGTCATCATTTATCTCTTTTTCTTATAATCGAATCAGAAACATTCCAGTGGATCGAATGTCTCAGGCAATTGGTTCTTGATTGCATTGCATTTTTACTGTATTTGGGAAAGAATTCATCTGTATTTCCTGTAAGAAGAGTTTCAAAGTCAGGACAGAATCTCCGTGTATAGGGGTGAGAGCACTTACTTTGTTTTGGCTGAATTGAAAAGACTTTTTTAAGGGTGTAGCTCCCTGAGAGAAAACTTGCCTTGCACACGTGAGGCCATGGGTTCAATCCCTAGCACCGGAAAGAAAAGAAAAAGCCCTTCTCACTGAGGGCAGGACCCTTGTGGTTTCCTCAGCCCCTTCCCAGTCCGGTCACTCCCTCCTCAGAGCTCCTCCTTCAGGCCTGGCAGGAGCCTTCTGCTCACTCCGTGCTCAGGCAGGCGCTCTGCAGGCTCCAGCACACTGTCCTCCTCACACTGCCCCCGAGTCATGGCCTGAGGCAGGAGGAAGCTGCCAAGCCTTTGGCCCGGCTCCCACTCAGATCTCCTCAGGCCCTTGGGCTTGCCAGGCAAGCGCTTATCCTACTGAGCCATCTCCCCAGCCCTAAAATTTCCTTTTTTTTTTTTTTTTTTTGGCGGAACCAGGGATTTGAACTCAGATCTTTGCACTTGCCAGGCAAGCGCTTATCCTACTGAGCCATCTCCCCGGCCCTCTCCCTGCATGCTAGAATCTTCTCTGTCTTGCTCAATCTGAATCTCCTCATAGCTGCCTTGGCTCTCAGAAGCAAACCAGGCCCTTCCCTGGCATGGAGCCCTCACCACACTAACCCCAACAGACCGGCCTGCCCACCTCAGCCTTTCCACACTGCCACAGAGCCTGGTGGCCGATCAGAACCTGGAGCCTGGCACCTGACTCTCACCTGCTCCTGGCTCAGGCTGGGGACCGTCCCACCTGCCCTGGCCAGCCCAAGCCCACCTTCTCGCAAGGTCTTCCCAGCACCTTCCTCGCACATAGGCTCTCTCTTCCCCTCCCCTCCCCTCCTCCCCTCCTCCTCCTTTGCTCCTCCGACTCTTTCCCAGTCTCATCTGCAGGCCCTTGAGACTCTGCTTAAACAGTCTGGTGCCTGACAGTAGATCAGTCACCCACAGGCACAATGGTGGCCCCGTAAGATTCTAGTGGAGTTGGCAAATTCCCCTTCCCTAGTATCACTGTGGCAGTTGCGAGCATGAAGCAGAATTCACTGCTGTAAGCAACCTGCGCTGCTGCTGCGTAAATGTATGACACATCAATTGTGTCCACCTCATAATGCCCAGCGAAGACAATCATGGCCCTATTGCTGGATTCCAAAAGTCTACCATACCACACTCTTCACTGTATTTCAGAGTGTACTGCTGCATACAACAATGCTTATTATGAAGCAGTCTCTGTTATCCCCGCAGCAGCCTTAGACGTTTCGTGTTGTGATTGCATCATTTCTCCTGTGTTTGATTAGCTCTCCTCTGTTCTGTTTATCCTGGTCCCCTACACTGAGGAGGACAGTGGGCTGTCCCATGCAGGCTTGTGTAAGTCCTCTCTGTGACAGCTACACAACAATGAAATTGGCTAAGGGGCTATGTTGCAGAACGGGTCCCCATCTCTGAGTGACATCGGACCATACCTCCGAGGTAGCCCTCGTTTCAGTCGCTTCAGAGTGTGGGTCTTCACGAGCATGCTGTCTTCGGTTGGAGACTGTGCTCCTGAATTAGGGGAGCAGTCCCACCCACGTTGTGCACACACATACAGGACGTCGGGGGCCGTATCTGGAGTAGGTTCCCAATGGTTGTCTGACACTTGGTAGGCAGAGCTGAGCCCGAGTGTCCCTCTGAACTCAGAATGGCTCTGTGACCTGGGATAAGTGGCTTATTCTCGTCGAACCTCTTAGGTCCCAATCTTACAAAATGGGTTACGGCAATGGCTCCCAGGTGCCGAGGGATCCTGGGATAACCCCTGAGGACTTGTAACACTTGCCATTCGGGAAGCAGGCTCCTGGTAAATGTGAGTCACCAACCTGATCCTACACACTTTGGAGCTTTTACTTTTGCCCTGGACCCCCTGAAATGCATTACTGGGGAGCAGTCTACCAGAATATTCATATTTAAAGACAAAGATGGGCCTGGGGGTGTAGCTGAGAGGTGGAGTGCTTGCCCAGAATTCATGAGACGATGAGGTCTATCTCCAGCAGCAAAACAAGCGAGCAGGAAGCCCATCTCGTGGCAGGGTCTTACTTTGTTGCTGTTGTTCTGTAGTACTGAGCATTAAACCTTTGCACTGAGTTACATCCCCAGTTTTAATTTTTTTTTAATTTTGAGACAGGGTCTCACTAACTCACTAAATTGCCCGGGCTGGGTTCGAATTTGCCATCCTTCTGTCTCAGCCTCCCAGTGTACAGGGAATACAGGTACACACCACCTCACAGCCAACATAGGCCAGGTTTTCATCTTGGTTTTCTATGACTGTCCCATGAGACAGCTTTCCAAGGTACAAGGCAAGCATCAACATACAGATAAATCTGGATTTGACTAGAAAATATGGGCCCTACTTATCCTAATGTCAAAGGGGGATCCCCACCCCACATCTTGCCTGACTGCAGCTTCTCATTGCCAGGGTGCCTGGGGTGGGGGTGGGGTCACTTGTGTAAATGGTACCCAGATTTTACATGCTGATGCCTTTCGGAGTTAGGGAAGGTCCAAGATACAAGAGCTGTGACTTGATGGGCCTACTCGTTGGAGCCCTGGCCAGGAAGGCAGGTGGGCGGGTGGGCAGGCAGCAGGCATTCTCTTCTCCCTTCCCTGAAAGATCTCCGGCACCTTCGGTTCCAATGGGGATAGTGAGCAATGAGACACCCCTGGAGATGGCACCTGGCATCGGGCCAGGAAAAAGAACAGATGGAGTGAAAACTGGATGGAAACTCACAGATGTTCAAAAGAAGCAGACGAGGCTGGCACAGAATGGCTGACAGGAAGACTGAAGGATTGGTGAAACCCAAAGGGGAAATTTGTCCATCAAATTTCCTCTCATCAAACATTGGGTCTGTGCCAGATTCACTCCTAAGCCCTGCAGAAACCAGACCAAGGAGGGGAAGGGCAGACTCCCATGCAAGTCACCTGAAAAGAGAGCAAAATTGAAGGAGGACAATGGAGGAAAAAGGTCTTGAAAAACTGGACAGAGATTTAAGACAATGACATCTACCCAGACAACATTTCATTTTAAGTGTAGAAGAAAGGAGGCAGAGGGTGATGCAATTCGAGAGCTCCTCCAAGGACCAAACTACAGCATTTACACTGCCTGCTGGGGGCAATTCTCGAGGCCCAGTACACCTCTCGGTTCTCTAGCCAATCCAGCAGGCTCCCTGCTGGCCCGGGCCACCCAGCCTGCCCTTCATCCACTGAGTGCCACCTTCGGAAGGCTGCTACTCATTTAGAAGGTGAAAATGTGGCAGGAAGGAGCCCAACAACCGAGAAAGAACCCTGCGTCATTTATTTTCGTACACCAGTGTTAGGCACGGAACAGGCATTTGGGAAATGTTTGATGAGTGAATGAGTGGCTGTGGCAGGCACTGGGGCCTGATTTTTAAAATAAGAAATGTTGCTGGGTATGGTGGTACATACAGCTATAATCCCAGCCACTAGGGAGGCTGGGGCAGGAGGATCAGGGTCATAAGTGCGAGCCCCACCCTCGGCAATTTATTGACTTGGAACATGTCTCAAAAAACAAAAATAGGGGTGGGAAGGTCCTGAGTTTGATTCCCACTACCAAAAAAAAAAAAAAAA